GCCGCTAGTTCGAACCAGGCCTTTGCAGCAGAGGAATGCTAATGCTAAAGCCAAAAAACGCAATGCACTACACGGACAGAGAGAAGCCTGGAACCAAAGTAAATACTTCATCAAATCAAATCTCAGTGCGGGCAACACCTCTAATAAGAAAATGAAATTTTCTCTTAAAGTACATTTTTCATCAGCACGCAGCGTGTGTTTCCTTCTGTACAAAACAGAATTATCATCACAGGACAAACAAAAAGAACGACGCAACAGCTAAAGAAACCCGAGAGGACTTAACTACAAATGAAACCGTTTACAACCAGTTTTAAGCACAAAGTTATTCACTATCGCGCTCCTTACGGCAGATCTCCAAGTCTCAAATTAATGCCTAAAGACAGCATGGAAGCGTTTGGAAGCGCATTTAGGGCGGCTGGTTAGGTGGTGGCCCGGGTTAGCTGGTGGCCCTGGGCAACGCGTTTCCAGGTTGCATTTTGTGCAAGAGAGCAGCTCTTTGGCACGGATCAAAGCCCCGGTACGGGCACATCCTTAAGCCAGCTAGTGATGACTCTGGTAGTCCTTTGTTTTAAGAAGTCAAAAAAATTAATAATTTATGTAGGACCTATGCAAAAACAAAGCTTGAGGCTCCCTCTGCTGGTTCCCAAACAACAAGGGAAGGGGAAAATAAAAAGGGAAGGATTTTAGCTCTGGGGAGGACAAACTCAAACCCACACTGCCTCTTGCCAGTTTTCCACACGACCCCCTGTTAGATACGCTAAGGACAGAAAACCCTCTTAGACGGTTAAGCACGAGGGATACGCTCCATACCAGACTAAATATTTAGAAAAAAAAATCATAACATTTTAAATAGGTTATATTTTATGTTGTTATACTTCATTACTCCCTAAACTGTTGTCCCAAGTCTTTCTTAATAGTACCCGCTTTACTTTCTTCTTATTTTGTCTCCATAGAGATTTAATTTTCTGATTATCTTCTCACAGGAAAATACCGATGCCATGATGACGTCTGTTTGATTACCCAGGTACTGAGCCCTGCCAGCAAACAGCCACATAGCCTAGGAACACATGGGAAAGAATTTGTCTGTACAATTTTATTTACCACTTGCAGTTACATTTACAAATTGTCCCATACAAGTAAAGCAGTTTCCAAAATGAACTCTACCAGAGCTACAAAAGTTATTCTCTTTTCTATACATGTCACCAGCTTCAGAATTTATTTCTGTACACAGTTGCTGATTATATTTAACAAAATCTCACTATTTTTTGGCTCTGAGGATCTCCACAAAGGCAACTTTATCCTTTTATCTCATTGCAATCAAGAAAGTTAAAGTTCTTGTTCCTCCTTTCCTTCCCTCTCCTTTCGCCTGAAGCTCTTCATGGCTTTCAGTTTTGGAATTCAAAGGAATGAAGACTACTGCTACTATACACTAGCAGTTCTAGTAACCAAGGGAAAAAAAATGTTGACCAAACCCATTTTGCAACATTTCAAGCAGTGTTTCACTTGAGATGTGTCTGCTCAGAAGCATAAATATTGAAATAGTGTCTGGTAATAAGGTACATAAAAGCACATACGATTTATTTAACATGAAATGAACTTCTACAAACAAATACAGTCAACTTACAAGAAAACACTAGCAAGGCAGGGACGAGGAGCCAGAGCTGTTCAGAAAAGAGCAAGTGTTTTGAGGAGAGCCTGAATGGAGGAAGGATACGAAACGCAAATATTGCTCTAAGAGTAACTTTCAGTTTTAAGCATTTCCAAAAGACTTGAGAAAAATATATACATTCCAAATGTAACTGTTAAAACTTTCTGAATGCCCGCTCTGATACACAAGTGCTTCTAAAGAGAAATCACTTTGCCCAGGAGAGGGCAGGAGTTCTATACACAGAAGTAACCGCTACAAAATCCTGGCCCCGTTGAAACCCGCAGCAACTCTCGGAGTGGAGTCAGCAGGGCAAAAATTCAGCGTTTCAGACACGTATTTCGTCCCCAAGTCAGCTAAGCCTGCCCACCTCTGCATCATAGTCCCGCAGAGGTAACATTAATTATGTCAGTCAAGCTTTGTGCTTACTTGTTAAGCCCTTTAAAAAAGCGATACTGGAAATCTATTCTGGTGCTGGAGTTAGCAAGCCTGGGATAAGACCAAAACTATGAAACAGGCTGTGTATAGCCAGTAAGATAAGCTTATTTAACATTTACCTTGCAGCAATCTAATCAGTCTCATCTCCCTTTATTTTTAAATTCCTCCAAAGCCCCGAGGCTCACGGCACGGCAACAGACTCAGAAAATCAAACCCACGGGATCTCAGAATTGCCGTCTGCCCCCTCAAATAGTTTAAGAATGGCCAGGAACAGTCTAAAAGCAGCATAATCTCCAACCTTAAAATAAGCCAGACAAGCTAGCTGAAGTTGTCTACTATCCAACACTGAAAACTTCAGTAGTTCATGGTACAGCTCCATCAAGCAGCAACCACAAAGTAAACTCAGATGTGGGTTTATTACACAACACTAAGTTTCCAGTCCTACCATGAGATATGTGAAGTAACCAAATATCAAAAAAATAAAGTCAGTTCAGCAAGGCAAAGGCACACACACGAGCAGTCACCACAGTTGTGGGTAACCTGGTTGCATAGATTTACCATTATGTTTTTGTTATATTGTTCAGAAGGAGCTAGGGAAAAAAAAATGTAGTATATAGTCCCTTTCCTAAGATGTTTTATTAATAATGTGAAAGGATTTTACCAAGACTACAGATGCGAGCACTTAGTTTTTAAACATCTTCCAATTTCTCCTATTTACGGGAGGAACATTCCAGATGTTTAAAAGAAAACTGCATCGAAAATAAATGTAAACAAAAGACCACATTTTAAACAAATCATTTCAGTTTAGGCTGCCAGCGCGAGATACACGAGTCCACAACATTTTAGGTTGTTTTGTCTCTCTTATTTTCCATATCTTATTTTTACAGTAGCCTTGAATACTTCAGTATGTAACATCCTGCTAAACCTTCAAAGTGATCTGAATAACACATTCAAAATATAGTTTGACACTGCTCTGAAACGTTTCATAATTTTTTTGTGTTTTCACTGAAAAAATCCTGCTTGACTGAAAAAGCGAAGTGTTTTTTGTCTTAAATATTTCCCCAACACTGGAAAACCCACGTGATCCTGAACACCAGCGAATTAAGAACTAATTCGAAGTCTAGTCCTTCATGCCTTCCCTCACCCCTGCAAAGATAAAACACAAACGCAGGCCCAAAAAGTCAGAAAGAGAATTTTAACACCACTGTTTACCACAACACATCACGAGTCGTCTCAGCTACAAATTTCTACAACCATTTCTTTACTTCACAACTGCAGCCAGAGTTTGAAGCTGCCGAAGGCAGCCAGTAGATTCTCTCTTACTGTGCAGAAACATAAAGGGGGTAAAGGGATCACTAAAACAAACTAGCTTCTCCATACGACTGCGGTATTACACATCACGTTGTTTTATCTGCAGGGAGCAGTGTTACGCCTTACAAAATAAAGCAGCTGTTCTTAATCCAGCACAACTGACGTACGCCTCCAGCAGCCCGTCCCTCCGCCTGAGCTGGCCCCTTCTACTCATCTGCTACGCCCCGGTTGCGAGGGGCAGAGGAGGAGAAGCTGATCTAAAGGGTGCCCCGGTTAGAGACGGCAGGGTTGGGACCTTGACTGTGAAGATCTGAACCTGAGGAAGAGCACTTCTGTACTTTTCATAAACGGAAGAACACTGAATCCGATCACAAGACTTGCCCTTACGTATAAAAAAAGTGACGAGATGAAAAGCAAAGACAGGGTAAGAAGGAATGGAGAAAAGCAGGCTTCACTTACTTCAGACAAGGCTTTCTCAGCCTGAACCTAAAAAAAAACAGGTAGCATGAGTTCCCTGTCAACAGGAACTAGATGTTACGTTGGTAGAAATAGAGGCGAGTGGCATAACGGGCTGCACCCCAGGATACTGAGAAGAAAGCAAAATGGAGAAGCTACAGCACGTGACATTAAACAACAAGCAAGCTGCAACATTCAACAGAACTTACAAAGAGGTGAAAAACATATTTTATTCCTCCTGTACTAAAGTGATGACACTGTACAAGTTCCCAATTATATGAAAACAGCTTTTAGTGACTCATTTTTTAACTGAACAACTAATTTCAGCACAGCTACCCAATCTTTAAAAGGCTAGAAAACCCTGACTGAAGTCCACTTATTTGTTTTAACAAGCGTATTTTCCATGAAGTCCACGCTGTCCGTCTTCGCGTGTTCCAGGAGTGTGGCTGTGTAAGAAAGTTATCTACAACAGTCATCTGAACTGAATACATCAGTTCTCCAACCATAAACAGTTCTCATAATTTAAAAAAATCATTTCATAATTTAAAATATATATCAATGACACTCTGCTTTTCTTTTAGCTAGAATGTACCAACATTACTAGCTGACTTAGAATATCAACTTGATTCTGTGAAAAAAGCTTGCGAAAAATATATCAACTTCAAAATGTACAGAAAAGGACATTAGAGAGCTGATATTTTTGGGTTACTTAATGTATTTAGAAAGAGCAGCAAGCTAGGAGTGAAGTACCCTATATTACAAATATTCAAACACCTAAGCCATACTGTATACACCTTTCTAGTGTAGGGACGCGGT